GAGGAGGAGGAAGTAGTAGTAGTGGAAGAAGGGGAGGTGGTGGGGTGGAGGAGCAGGGATCGTCTTCAGGCTCTAATACGTCAGGAACACAACTACAGTTTCACAGTGTAGAGCCCCAGCCCTCCCCTTCCCTGTCCACTACCTCAACCTCTTTGTGTTCGGAGGCCCCACAGACCCCAAGCTCTCCTCCAGAGGATGCAGCTGGAGGGCCAGAAACTGGAGAGGAAGTAGAAGCAACATCAACTAATGTCCAGAATTCCTCCAAAAGTCCTGAAGACAAGGCACCTGACTCCGCCTCTCCAAAGCCTACGGCGATGGAGTCTCCTGCAGCCATCTCAGAGATGGCTGAACATGGTTCCATAAAACCTCCACTGACCCCAACCTCCATCCCGGATTCCCTTCCTAGGTTTGGAGCTCAGGGTGTGGATGTTATACAGACGCTGGCCAGCTCTTCTCGGGCCAAAGATCTGGCACAGGTGAAGGACTCTGGACTGGGCGGTGTAATCCAGCATGGTTCCCACCATGTGGAGCACCAGGATGTGTTCTCTCCCTCCACAGGGAGGAGGCAAACAGAAGCTCATTCCTCTGGTGGAGAGAAAGAGTACGAGACTGGGACGCATAGTGACTCCACGGAAACGGCCTCAGACTGTGAGGATGAGCAGCAGCCTGACGGGGACTGGGGCCCCCCACTGAGCATCCAGAGAAACAGCCAGCTGGTCATCTACAGCCCTCCCCCAAAGAACCATCAGCCGGTCATCCAGGCCCACGTGTCCAACCGCCAAGGTCAGACTGTCATCCAGCCGTGCTTCCCCAATGGCCTGCCTCACCCTCAGCACAGCAGCCCCCACTCCCAGGACTACCAGTCTCTCCCCACAGCCCATCAGCAGGGGTTAGAAGATGGCGTTGTGATCAAACTTGAGTCTGGAGAGGAGTGTCGGGAAGTTGTGAAGCCCTCAGCTGCAGCTGCCTCCAGGAGGATGGCCAGCTCAGCTAGAGCAGTTTCCAGTGTGGAGGCCAACAATCCTCTTGTTACTCAGCTCCTGCAGGGCAGTCTGCCCCTGGAGAAGGTTTTACCCTCACACTCTGCCAACAGGCTGGAGATCAGCCGATTTCCAGGGCCCCAACCCCCACCACCAGGGTCACGGACCCCAGGGCTTAGCCACAGGCCTGAGGGCTCAGTCCAGTCTTCTAGCCCTGAACTGAACGCAGTCTCTCAGATCCACAACAAGTCTCCTACAGGTCGTCCAGTCTCCTGTCTGATAGAGACACCAGCAGGGCAGTACCAGGCTCCGCAAGCCCCCGGGGCTGTCGCGGTCATCACCTCTCTGCCCCCCCCCTCATCCTCCAGCTCTTTGTCCTCCAGGAGTAAGTCAGACCTTGAGACTGCTGGGGGGTCTGTGGTTATAAAAGACTCTCATGGCCATCAGTCTTCCCAGGGGGTCACTCCAGACAGGCCCCAGCAAGCCCACAGAACCACGCCCAATGGACCCTCTCCTCACCATGCAGACCCATGTCCCACAGAGGTGGTGCCTACCATTAAGATTAACTGGGGGCCCCCGCAGTCTCAGTCTCCTGCTTCCACCATAAAGAATGAAGTGGGTGCACGGCCTGCTTGTCAGGCTCTCTCCAAATCCTCCCCCATCAAACCCATGAGTGTTACCAAAAAAGAGCCCGGGAGCTCTATGGACGGCTACCTGAGCGGGGGGGCGATGGAGGGACTCCTCAACATGGAGATGACTTTAGCAAGGATGGCAAAGAAAGAGCACAGCAAGGCTAGCTACTCCTCTGGCTCTCCCTCTTCCTCTTCCTCCTCCTCCTCCCCCTCCTCTACTGCCTCCACCCTTCCCTTTCAGCTCTATGGGAAGCTCCCCAAACACGGTGGAGGAGTCAGCTACACAGCCAATGTTTCAGTGATGGACAGCGGATTCTCGCGCAGCATGGCGGACGGAGTTCTGCAGCTGCGCCCCCGTCAGACCACCCTCAGCATCCAGGCCTACACTGACAGTACTGCGGAGGAGGTGGCGCTCAAGTGCTCGTGCCGCCTCAAAGCCATGATCATGTGCCAGGGCTGCGGTGCCTTCTGCCATGACGACTGCATCGGGCCCTCCAAACTGTGCGTGTCGTGCCTGGTGGTCAGATAGGGTGCTGCAGCTTCAGCAGGTCAGGCTCAGTGTACAGGACCGGGGAGCCTGACGGCAGGACCTGCCTTGTATTATAGAATTGGTCTGTATTTTTTGTTGTTTAAGATTTTCAGATTTTTTTTTAGCTGTACTTATATATTATTATTGTTGTTGTTGTTGTTGTTGTTGTTATTATTATTATTATTATTATTATTATTATTATTATTGTGAATCTGAGGCATGGTTGATTGTAAATTGTGCCTTTTTTGTTTTCTTTCCTCAAAAACATTTACCTCATCTCATCTTGCTACACCTTTCATCAATTGGTGGTCATCATTGTTTTGGTCCCTTGTGTCCTCAGCGGACGGGGACCTGTTGTTGTCTTTGCGCAAAGAAATATTTTTTTAAACCATTAAAATGAGTAAATAAAATCGTTTTGCTGGTTGGGTTTTGACTCCTTTCGTGGTTCCCTCTAAACTCCTGACCCTTCAGTTGGATGAACACATGAAATGATCATTGAACTGTGATAGCTACACTTTGTGTTGTACAAGACAATTCAGAATCAGAATTCCTTCATCCATCCCACATAGGGAACATTTATATTGTAACGCCAAAAGTGAAGATAGACAAAAAATAAAGCCCTATTAGATAAAGGTCATGCACAAAACATTGTACAACGATGGTGTCGTAGTCTTTGTTTCTTACATTATGTATATTTGCTTTAAAGGTAGGGTAGGTAAGAATGGAGAAACCAGCTCGAGTGCGCTAGAATTAGAAAATACGCAGCCGAAAAAAATCTGCCTCTTCCTTCAGACTTCCTTACAGAGCCCCTCCTCCCTAGCCTTTTGGGGGCCCTAAGCGAGCTTTGGCTTGGGGGGCCCCCCTCACTCTAGCGCGTTCTCACTACACAGAACCAACTTTTGTCTTATGATGTTAGCATAAGCACAAATTACAATGCTGTGTTCAATGGGGCTGATGTGTTATGTAGATTCTGCCAGAAGGAAAATCACGGTCAAACTCCTCTATGAAGCGGGGAGCTGCCGCTCCACATTGATTTTCTTCCCGACTGCAACGCTGGTCCCGCAAATCAAGCAAGAACGTGATTGCTCGATATTCATTGTGGGGGTGGAAGTATGGGATTAGTTTTGTATCATAAAGATAAAGCAACACTTTCTCAGTATAAAGCAAAACTATGAGTTTAAAAGAAACAAACTGAGTCAAGCAAAATAAAATAAATTTCAAAAATAATACTATAAGTTGCAAACAAATAATTTGTGTAATAATGTAAACTATAGGTCTTTTTTCTTTGTTTTAGACATGTTACATTTCAAAAGCATATATTGCTATGTTTAGGACTCCGCTGGGAAACTGCTCTCATGTCAAGCATCAGATCAGTGCATGCGCTGCATCGTCCAATCAGTGAGCGATACACAGTAAGGGGCTGGGCGAGTGTCTGAGGATTTCATCGAAGGATGGTCTGGTGGCTCCTCGATTATAGCTCCTCCATTATCGCTCCTCGGTCCTCCGGCAAAAATAAGGCCATTGGGACGCTACTCAAGATGGCGCAGACAAATCAACTTCCGGTGAGACCGAGACCGAGGAGCGAGGAAAAATAAGAGAAGTGAGAAGGGCCCTTGGAATTCCACCGAGGCCACGTCCTTGGTTTGGGGGTAATTTCGAGGCTGCACATGGGTAGACTTCGCGTCCTTCATATCCCCACAATGCTTTGCGCACGGACCAATTTCAAAAACCCTTGCGGAGAATGGCTGAAACGACGCAGTGCAGCACACATTTAAATGTGAGTATGTAGCATAGACTGTGGTATGTAGTGGCGTAGAACATGTGTTGGTAAATATGTTACTTTTTTGCATTTGTTACCACCAAAAATGTGTTCCGTGAAAGTAAAGCAAGTTCATAATTAGATAGACATCGTGAGGTATTTATTTTCGGTACAGTTTATGTTGAAACCGTTAGAGAGAGTGGCAGACTTGTTAGCCTGTTCCATTCTTCTTATTTTTCCGAATCCGTGGCTTGGAAATATACTTGCTTCGTTTCTGAAGGAAGTGACTTGGAAGTATGCGACTACCAAGCCAGTATCCTCGCGATTGAGAAACGGCCAGTGTCTCATGTGAACACAGTCACCAGCAACAAGGATCTCACACACACCCAGACTAACAGGAAAACAGAACCCTAAATACACACAGGACCAATCAAACAAACAAGACACAGGTGACGGGGGAGGAGACAACACAGGGCACCAGGTGAACACAATCACCAACAATGAAGCTATACAACCCGTAACGGAGGCCGAGATCTATGGGCCCAGAGATCACCTCCGTTACAGGGAGATATGACAAAAACAAACCCACCAATTTGCCGACTCTTTTCTTAGAAATATCTTCACTTTAGGTTCATGACAAGGCTAAATCAGACTGCTTACATATAGTACAACTAATGAGAACATAAACCTGTCTTTTTCAAGTTCGATGGTAGTTGATTGGTTTCCGTATTTGTATCCATTCATGTTTTTGTGGACCTCGAATTGAAGACCATATACTTCTGTGTCGCACTGTATCCTTGAGTCAAAGGAGCACCATTTTGCCAACTGCTGTAAAATGTTGTTACGTTGTTGCTGTAAATGATTCAGTAAACAGATATTTTAGAAGTTTTAACAAATTAGAAATCTCATCATGGCCTGAAGATAATCATCAAGAATAAAACATCTCTTACACTGTGCTACTATGGGCTAAAAGATAAACCATTCCATTCCTTTCCTTTCCTAAATCACCTCCCCCTCCTCCATCTATCAGTTTTAAAAGTCATAGACCATTAAAGTCAGCTACTATGAGAGACTTTCTGCAGACTCACTGATGCATGAACATATCAGTGGTTCCCTTGTAGTGCAAACCAAAATAATTGGATGGAATTAAAAGATTTAAAAGATTAAACCATACAGCCTTGCACCTATAGGTGGGCTGTAATAATGGCATGACCCACCACTAGCTCCAGATGTTTGCTTGTCTCTTGACCTACATCAAGTTAAGCTGATCCAATCCCATCCTGATCAGTAGCCAGGAAATTAAGTTAGACTATGGCCTGGCCCAGACGGTTTGTGGCAGGTCAGTTTCTCCTCCTGTTAAGAGCTCCAAACACTTAAGCTATTAACCTTTTTTTGTTTGGACAACCAGGATGAATCACCCCATCTGCCAGTATTCTCATTACAGCTTCCCATTTTCAATGTTTTTCTTTAAAGTTGCGGCAAGATTGAGGCTACTCTTTATCGTTATATGCCAAATGGGAGACAGACTTAAAAATCCCCTCAAGCAATCTCCTGGAGACAGGCATGTGCTTGGACAGCCAAATAGAGCCAAATGACTCCATTTCCAGTCTATGAGCCAATTGTGGACAAAGCGATTGGATGCCAGTGCTGATGTTGTTGCACTGGGTTTGTGTTATAGCTGCTGGGCTTAAAGTCATCTCTGACTGCTGAGTTAAAGGGAAACTAACAGAAACCAAGACTGCAACCAACACACATTTAAATACTCATAATTGTAATATTCGTTAACTGCTTTTGTGGGGAATACAATTTGATGTATCTAAAAAGGGTGAAATATCATTTAACGTAACTAAAGACACAACATTTAACAATAAGAACTGTAGTGACAATAACACTGGAGCTCTGAGGTCTCTCTGAGGAAATCAGGCTGCTCACATACCTGACGGTGAGAGGTATAAACATAATATTTTGACATGGATTAACACTAATAGTATTTATCTCAGTCACAAAGGCCTTGAGTACCGTGGCACTTTTCTTAGACGACTCAACAAAGAAAAATATATTTGAAATGGAAATCAAAACAGCTACCTGCTTAGGAATTACTGGGCGAATTACTGAGATTTTGAAAAAGTTTATACAGTTATTGAAATGATTACGTGGTATAAAATTCATACAGCAATGCAATGCGCATAAGATTAGACAGAAATTGCATAACTGTTTATTCCTGAGAGCATATACTGTATGAGCTGCAAAACAGTTTAACCATTAAACATGTTTTCCTGAGTTTTCATTATTCAAAGATCAATATATTCACTTACTTTATATTCACATACAGTAAAATTCCACTTTGTTTGTCCATTTCTAAAATGAATGTTTTTAATCCAATTGATCACAAAACACTTAATATGATTCCCTTAGTAATATGCCTTGTATAGGTTGTACTGCCAACTCACTTTGTTCCATTTTTATGTTTTGTACAGTACACATAAAGTACTATAACATACATTAATCATGCACCTTTTACATATTTGATATTGGATAATGTACTTTACAACCATTTCTTTCAAAGCATCCCATTTATTAGAACTTTTCTGATCACATGAATTGAGACCTGGTTCAATTCACAATGAATTTAATTATTCTATACTGTCATGTAAAAAGTAGAAGTAGCTAATACAGTATACTGTATTGGAGACATGCAAGCTGCTTTTTGTGGGTCTGAATGTTTGACAAAATGTTGATTATCCTTTCAGAACAGCAACTCACTTCACTTTGCTTTTATCAACTCCCAGTTGGTTTATGTGCCTCGTGTTCGGTGTAATGCCATTACACCCGCCAGTAAGTCCATGAGTATGTTGATTGAGAGTTGGCCTGTGGTTTGATGCTTCTTCTATGGAAAATACCAGATGGTATGAATACAGCCACTCAAATATGTTTCTTGGCATCAAAAGGCTAAGGCAGAACAGATGATTGCCATATTGTTTTTGACTGGACCCAAGGGTACTTTCAAGGACAATGAATCTGTGGGGACTTCAGCTAAATGCATGTGGACAATGATGGATGTGTGTGTGTGTGAGGTCAACGTGACTCTTTAACATTAATTGATAACAGCTACGTGAAAACATTTCCCTGCTCTTTGAAATATTTAAGAAGCACAAAAGTAAGTCTATTTATGCAACCTGTAACATGCAACAGCATGTATTCACAAAGTGCTTATGAATACTAAATGACATCTCATTGTTTTGTCATAGTGAATAAGTGCAACACACATCATGCTATTCTCAATAAGACTGATAAATCTCTTAACGAGAAACTGCTTCACATAATTTGACTTTCCCTAATGGGTCTTCAACTATAGAGATTATTTGTAGTTATTTTATTTTTGTCTGATTCTCATTTACCGTGTGATCAAGTGGATTGGATAGAACAGGGTTAATTGTATTTGTGCAATTGTCCAGCTTGACACCACTAATGAAATGCAAGTCTATCATTCCTTGGTTCATGCTTCTTTCAGTATATTGTTTTTCAGAAACAACAAAAGATATGCAAATATGTACACAAATTGTTGTTATCCCACTAGAGGCAGCGTAAAACATTTGAGAAGCCTACCAGAAGCAGCTCTCCATTTTTTTTGGACTGTCAATCTGTCACTGAAAAA